GGAATCCTAATCATAATCGGAATACTAAAGGCCTACTTTCTTCATTCCTAATAGATAATTAGGTCTAGGACTCCTAATTAGAATCTGATTAGTAAAAAGGTTTACTCTCTTTTATTCCTAATAGGCTTAAGACTCTAGTTTAGGCAAGGGTCCATGATCCATGGTGGTCCACATTAATTAATTAAGGGAATCCTTACCAAATTAAATCCTTTTTAATTATTATTAACGGAATTAATTAAATAATTAATTCGGGATTGGAGGCCGTAACACGGGGTGTTACAGACAATGTTATTATATGTTTGGAAACATATAAAACAACTAATAAGCTAAGTGGATTGGTAGATGTTCCATAGAGTCGAAGAAACTAGGTGGAAATATACGTTCAAGTTTACATAGAATGAGAGGTATGTCATTATCAAGCTTCGTCATTTCCTCAACTGCAATTGTAGTGGATGTAAGGTTCTTAAAGAATAAACTCAACTCTGTAAGAACTTTCCATACATTTAGCGAGAGCAACTCACAAAATACAATTGGTATTAACCTCTGCATAAACACATGACAGTCGTGGCTTTTCATACCAAAAAACTTCAACTTCTTCATATCTACACATCGACTCATATTCGATGCAGCCATCAGGAAATTTGAGATTCCTAACCCATTCACACAATGCTTCTCTTGCCGGTTTTTCAAGTGTGTAACAAGCTTTTGGGAACTTTCGGGTCACAAGGTCTTGCTTCAGCTCAGGCCGCCGACAATAATCATTCAGCTCTTCTCTAGATTTATATGCATCCTTTGTTTTTCCAGTAACATCCATTACTATGTTTAACACGTTATAAAACACATTTTTTTCTATATGCGTCACATCCAGATTATGCCGTACCAAGTGTGAACTCCAATACGACAAATCCCAAAAGATACTTCGCTTCTTCCAACAGCAAGTTTTGGAAATTAATCCATTAACTTCAACTACATCCAATTCAGTGACCTTCTTAAGGCCTAACGTCTCAATCTCTGTAAGGATATGATATCCTGAGCGAACAGGCGGTGCCTCAGTTGTAACCGCTCTGTTCTTAAAGAATGTGGTCTTATTCCTGCGAAATGGATGATTCGGTGGTAAAAATTTTCGATGATTGTAAAAACACGATTGCTTACCACTGTATTTTAGGGTGAAGGCATCCGACTTGTCCATGCAATATGGACAAGCTAACCTCCCAGCAGTGCTCCACTCGGATAACATCGAATATGCAGGAAAATCACTAACTGTCCACATAAGGGCAGCTCGCATCTGAAAATTCTGCTTCTTTGAAATATCATATCATTGAACACCGACTTCCCATAATTGGTTTAACTCCACAATAAGCGGTTGTAAAAAACATCTATCTTCTCTTTTGGATTTTTTGGACTTGGAACCAATACGGTCAAGAACATATACTCCTCCTTAATACACATCCAAGGAGGCAAGTTGTACGTTGTTAGTATCATAGGCCATGGGGAATATTGTTGTCATGACTGTCCAAATGGTTGAAAACCATCGGTGCACAGACCTAACCTGACATTTCGAATTTCAGATGCAAAGTCAGGATAAGTGTTGTTAAAATGCTTCCAAGCAAGCGAGTCTGAGGGATGACGCATGATTCCATCTTCAACTGAATTTGCATGCCACTTCATATCATTTGCTATAGCATTAGATGCATACAACCTCTGCAGTCGAGGTAACAAAAGAAATTAATACATTTTTTTGTATGCTACATTAGTTTTCTGTCGTTTTGTAGCACCACGAGAAGTTTGTTTAAATCGAGGGTGGGCACAAAACTTACACGTTGTCATATCTATATCTGACTCCCAATATATCATGCAGTTGTTCTTGCAGCAATCAATCTTTTGAACCGGCAATCCCATACCCCGTAATAGCCTTTTGGTTTTGCAGAAGTTGTCAAGAACTAGATTATCCTCCGGAACAACTTCTTTCAAAAGTTCAGTGAATTGATTGAAACATTTTTCTGATATGTGATTCTCTGATTTCAAGATCATAAGTCGAGCTACAAGAGACAACTGCAAGTGTTTTTTACTCCCAGGCCACAACTCTTGATCTGCAGCTTTCAGCATATCATAAAACTTTTGGGCTTCGGGTGTAACACCCCAGATTTTCGAAACTTTTAAAACTTATATAATAAAGGTAAATTCTTATTGAATCCCAAATAGAGCAGTACTAAACATAAGAATACGGGGTGTTATGCCACATCTGAGCTAGAGAACTCAGATGCACAGGTTAAACTATCTAACAACATCATTACATCATTATGGCACGCAGGTCGAAGATGAACTATCTATCTAAGTCTTGGGTCCTCTAGCGCGCTACGGAGCTAATCGTTTGTGCCTGAAAGCCAAATATATCTGTTCAGCGAATAATGCTGGAAACCCACTCTAACGCGTTGAAATACTGTATAAGTATATATATATATATATAAGAAAAGTCATTTTGAAGCAGGAAGATATATCCTAGGAAACTCTAGTTTCAAAACCGGAATAGACTTGACATATAGGGATAAGCACATTCAAAAGTTATAACCAAGCAAGTAAAGATACTAGCATATATCCTATGGGATAAGCACTTTCAACGGTTGTAACCAAGCATGTAAAGATACTAGCATGTATCCAATGGTCACGGATTCACTTTATCTCATTTATATCATCATTCATCTCATCACACAAGCACACTTTGATGGCGCCACAGGACCAATCACATGCCCATACATGAGGGTCAGCGCATATAGCTCTGACACGGCCCCGCAGCACCCTGCCTCGTATCGCAACACGAAGGGGTCGATCGCAACCGACCTATGTACCGCAGCTCATCATAATGTTTGATCGCAACCAAACAGTGGACCGCAGCCCAAGAGTGATCATCTGGCCGCAGCCAGGAATATGAACCGCAGCTCATGTAAAATGTTTGATCGCAATCAAACGGTGGACCGCAGCCCGAGAGTGTAATTCTGACCGCAGCCAGCTTCTGAACCGCAGCTCAGGAATAACCAATTTGATCGCAACCAAATTGGGGTATCATGCACACATAACACATAGCAAGCACATGCAACCCATATTAACACATTGGGAAAGGGGAGAGAACGTATAATGAAACCTATGCGTGGTCATCCACATACTAGGAATAATCCTAAGGGGTTCATACTTCTTTCACCTAGGCCAACGGGATACTAATTCAACTAGCATGCGATATATATAAGACTCATTTATCCTATGAACGGTACCCGAAATTGGGACACCACGAGGGTCGGGGAAACATTAAACGGGGAAGCCGAAGACCCAAGTTGGGCAAATTCCAGCGGGTAGTCGGTGGGTGGAGGACCGCCCACCGGCGACAAGCCTCCGGGCAGCGGGTGCCCGGCGGGCAGTCGCCTGCCCGCCGGCTGCCCGCTGCCGGCGGCGTCCTTCTTGGGCAGCGGGTAGGTGGCGGGTCCCCCTATCCCCACCTACCCCCCACTGATTCTTTATCAAAATAAACGTCCCGAGATCCGTTGTGGAACCCGAAACCATGCTTAGACACTTTTAAACGCATTTGATGACACCATGTAGACAATTAACGGATCAAAAGCAAGAATCATATAGCACACATCCTATCATGATTTCTAAACATAATCAACACCCGAACATGCGAAATCCCCACCCAATTATATCAAGAATAACACAATACGAAATCCCCAATTTGACCTAGGGCTCTAATCATATTTAAATCATCAAAATCATAATTCGTCTTTTAACATCAAGAAACGTCAAGATTCATCCAGAATATCACATAATCATCAAGAACCTCTTATCATCATCAAGATCATCAAGGTCACACATAAAATCATCTCACAATCATCAAGAACGTATCATCAATATCATAAACGATTCATCAAGACACGAGTATAGAGAGGAGGCCAAAGAAGATAATTATAGCAAGGAAAATAGGTTTTGTTGAGACATGGGTTACCTCTTAGCCTTAATTAATCATCCCTTGGCTATTAAGGTTCTTCCCTAAGATTTCCATCCGTTTTGATCTCCCTAGGTTTGGTAGTGGGTAGTCCCTTGGAAATTCTTGTGTGGTGATATCTATTGTGGTGTGACTTCTAGGTGCCTCCTATGTCCTTATATACATATTTAGGAGTCCTAATTAAGGTCTGAATGGTATGGGTTAACTAATTCTATTCCTTATAGGACTAAGGACTTGTTTTAGGGATAAGGGTCCATGGTCCATGCTAGACCATATTAATTAATTAAAGAGAATCCTAACCATAATCTGAATAGTAAAGGTATACTTTCTTTATTCCTAATAGATGTGTAGGCCTAGGATTCCTAATTAGGATCCGATTAGTAAAATGTTCACTTTCTTTATTTCTAATAGGCTTATGACTCTAGTTTAGGCAAGGGTCCACGATCCGTGGTGGACCACATTAATTAATTAAAGGGATTTCTAATCAAATTAAATTATTTTTAATTATTATTAATGGAATTAATTAAATAATTAATTCGGGTTTAAAGGCCGTAACACGGATGTTACACTCTCCTCCCCCCCCCTTACAAGAAGCTTCGTCCCCGAAGCTTGGAAATCATTTTGGGTAAAGAGCCCGAATTAGTATATTAGTTTATAAGGAAGGTATTATATGGGAAGTATATACACATACGCATATAGATTCACTGGGTTTGAGCCTGACTATTGTGCAGGCAAAATGTACCAAATAACAAGCTCACGAATATGCAACACACAATATGTAAGTTTTACGGGTGACTAATACATAACATAGAAGTTTTACACATGGCATGATCTTTATTTAATTATTTTATAATGATTTAACATATAGGATCACAAGTTGTACTAATCGTATAATTATTTATGTATCTAAATGAGAGGCAAATATCACGCTTGTGCAGATTCGGATAGCCACATAATTATTATAAAGTATATATGCACATATATCGACACAGGCGAACCTCATTTACGAATGGGTGTAGACGTTTAATTATGTAGTGTAGTATGTTGTGAGCCTAAATGCCATATATGTAGCATCTATGTCTAATCCTTATGCTTAGCAGGTTATACCAAATATTCACAATTACGAAGCAACAAGCCTAACATGTATGATAATTAACTATTTATGTTATATGCAAAACTTGTAAGTTGGCATGCCTATATGTGTTCAATCGTAATTATGCTAAGCATGCAATTTCTTAAGTCTATGGGCATAGAGTGTGGAGGCATGTGGCCCTATTTTAAGTCTTAAATAATAACTAGTCCTATGGAATCATAAAGCACACATATGTATTATTCCACATGTTAGTCTAGTGCATGATTAACAATTAAATTCACGTACTTAATGTCATGGCATAACCAAACTTTTGTCATATAAATTCAGGAAGGTCATAAGTCATATAATAATTAGTCAAATAGCGAAAATTAGATTCTGAGGAAAAGATTGTAAGTAATTAGGAGGAAGGCTCTTGCTTCTTATGGTGTAAATAAATTCTGGGGAGGCAATAGAATTAGGATCTTTATTTTGTATTCCATGGATAACGGCGGGTGATCACATAACAAGTATTGGCACTTATATGCAGATTGCTTGTAATTAATAATATTGTGTATATGCATAGTGGGATGCCTTATAACATACTGTTTTTTTTTTTTTTTTTTTTTTTTGTCTAGCATGCGTGTATATGTATATATATATACATGAATGCGTGTAAGTGTGTATTTTACATAAACATGTGAGCTATGTGATTTGACATGTAATGCACATGAAAAATATAAATTTCGACTTATAGTTTGGACCACGCAATTTGCATATAAATATTTTAGTAATTACGAGTAAGATAGCCTAGGTTCACAAGTACTAGAAGTTCTATCTTGAGAATTTAATCACACAAGCACTTAGGAAAATTAGTTTTATCTTGGTGGTAATTAGATTTTAGGTAGGCATAAATCTTACATCTAGAAGTCCGGGATACCTAAAAGCCTTTTAGAGTTGAAGACCCTTGGTTGCTAATTCCTAACTCAATTGATGACCTGATGATGAGGCTAAAGTTTTTAATTATTTAGGGAAGGTAGGAGCGGTAACAGGGAGGTCATGCGAGGGGGAAAAGTAGAATTAGGGCTATCCCAGAATATGTGTATATATATGTATATATATAATAGTGATGTAGTTTGTACGGAATGATATTTCAGGGTTAGGATATGCTAAGGGCAAGCTTATAGGTGTGCGTAAGATTATTGTAGCTAGGGAGCATGTGTATGGTGTGGGGGCTAGGGATTTATTGTATATAATGTAACAATTTATATGGATACGTATGAATATGGGAGGGTGTTCTATAGGCTCACAAGTTTATACACATATATATAGATTTAAGCGTATAGGGACGTACCGTACATGCCGCAACCATTTTTAAGATTAGGCAAGTGATTTAGGATTAGGGTGTAATAAAAATGAAAATAATAATAGTAATAATAATAATAATAATAATAATAATAATAATAAAAATAATAATAATAATAATAAAAATAATAATGATAATAACAATTTGGTGTTAAGTGTAGCATATGAACGTAATTGGGGTTTACTACATATCTTAGATATATATATATATATATGCTAGGAGTTTTAGGGGAATATATCTAGGATAGTAGTGATGTACATATTTATGTATAAATGTTTGTTTAGGGGGGGTCCTTATCTTAGTGGTAAAGGGTCCTAAACGAGGTATGGGAAGCTTGTGGTCTATTATGCAACATGGACCAAGGTCTAGAGGGATAGTTTTAAGATAGTTTGGGGGCGCAATATATTTTTCCACGGATAATTTCTAGATGACCACTTGTTTTAGGTTTTTACCGGTCTCACTCAGATTGAATTTTGGGTCGAAACTTAATACGCAATGTATTCGAGGGTTTAGATTTCTTGAAATAGGATTAGTCCCTATAATTTCTATGTAACATATAAACAAATCAATTAGGAAGATAATTCGATTTTCATGTTCAAGCATTAGATTGTTATTTATATGTTTAAACACATAGGAAGTATCAAGGGAGACACACAAGGGCACAATGGATCAATAAAAATGAGAAGTCAAGAAAACATACCGGACCAGTGGGCGCGAGGTGGGCGGTCGACCGCCTGTCAAGTCCCCACTGGAATGTGGCAGTGGGCACGTGGTGGGTGGTCGACCTCCTGCCAAGGCCCCACTGGAACATGATTGTGAAGGAGGAATCACTTCGGGAAAAGCCCCGAGAATGCACAATTTTAAGTTCAAGGAATTTCATACTTATGTGAACAACGAAAGGGGTTTGAATACATGGAAAAACTCAATGATCACGTTATTAATAAGGAATATGGGAGACTTCAACTAAATATCATAAGGATCCCACACCCCATTTTTCCCCTTCTTAATTAAAGTTATGTTCCCCAAAATTTCCCTTCATGCAACTCATGTAAGTACTTATCGGGCTATTTAGTGAGTTAACTATATTGGTCAATTATGATTAGGACAAGTGAGCCCCTATAAGCTGAATAAAATTACTAATTACAAGTTCCAAAATACTTTATCATGTAACAGATATCCAAATAATGCATGTTTGATCAAATGGTTAAGTAATAATATGCAGTTCTTAACACGGTCTAAAGACAATTAGGAACATATGCTTAAGCAAATAAACAAGTATGATAATCAAAGAGTGATAAGCAACAAAGCAGGTAAAAGCATGCAAGGACATCTCAAATTTCTAGGGCCAGTATGTGGAATGAAGAGTTAGTGTGTTGTACCCTTACCTTGATGTGATAAGCGAAGGGGGAAATTCTTTAAAATAATGTGGGGTAAAGTAAGGGGAGGTTATGTGATGATAGGTAGGTTCACAATCTCACCGCGCGTCCTAAGATTCCTCAATCCTATGTCCCTAAATACCTAGAGTTCAAGCCTAATGTCCTAAAGTCTGGTCTTAAGAGTCATATCCTAGGATCAAACTTAGGCTTTGATACCAACTGTAACACCCCAGATTTTCGAAACTTTTAAAACTTATACTAAAGGTAAATTGTTATTGAATCCCAAATAGAGCAGTACTAAACATAAGAATACGGGGTGTTATGCCACATCTGAGCTAGAGAACTCAGATGCACAGGCTAAACTATTTAACAACATCATTACATCATTATGGCACGCATGCCGAAGATGAAACTATCTATCTAAGTCTTGGGTCCTCTAGCGCGCTCCGGAGCTAATCGTCTGTTCCTGAAAGCCAAATATATCTGTTCAGCGAATAATACTGGTAACCCACTCTAACGCGTTGAAATACCGTATAAGTATATATATATATATATATATATATATATATATATATATATATATATATATATATATATATATATATATATATATATATATATATATATATATATATATATATAAGAAAAGTCATTTTGAAGCAGGAAGATATATCCTAGGAAACTCTAGTTTCAAAACCGGAATAGACTCGACATATAGGGATAAACACATTCAACAGTTATAACCAAGCATGTAAAGATACTAGCATATATCCTATGGGATACGCACATTCAACGGTTGTAACCAAGCATGTATCCTATGGTCACGAATTCACTTTATCTCATTTATATCATCATTCATCTCATCACACAAGCACACTTTGATGGCGCCACACGACCAATCGTGTAACACCCCAGATTTTCAGGATGTTTAAAACTTATAAAATAAAGGTGAAATCTCATTAAATCCCAAAACATAATACAAGAGTATGGGGTGCTATGCCACACCTGAGCTAGAGAACTCAGGTGCACAGGCTAACAGACTAATATCCTCAAATAGTATCAGTACTAAATCATGGCACGCAGGCCGAAAGGGAAAAACTATCTAAGCTACGTCCAAGTTTCTAGCGCGCTCCAGTGATCTACTCGTCTATGCCTGAAAGCCAAATATATCTGTTCAGCGAGAGATGCTGGTAACCCACTCCAACGCGTTGAAATACATTACATATAGAGATATATATAGATATACGAAAACCATTTTGAAGCATGAAGATATATCCTACGAGACTCTAGCTTTTAAAACCGGGAATGACTCGACAGATAAGGCTAGACACAAGCAACAGTTATAACAAGCGTATACAATCCACAACAGGCAAGACAGATAAGGCTGAGCACAATTAATAATCATAACCCAACATAAACAATCCCCAGCATAAATCCCATAGTCACATCCCCCAATATACTCACAAACATAACTCATCCATATCTCATCACATAGCACACTTTGTTGGCGCCACAGGACCAATCGCATGCCCATACATGAGGGTCAGCGCATATAGCTCTGACACGGCCCCGCAGCACCCTGCCCCGTCTCACATTACGGAGGAGCCGATCGCAACCGACTAATGAACCGCAGTTCTATATAATATTTATATACCTGACCGGTCTCTACCAGCCTGGTTAACAGTTGGGATGGTTTTCAACCCATTCAACTGCCCGTATAGTGGACCTTTGTCCTATATAATATTTATATACCTGACCGGTCTTTACCAGCCTGGTTAACAGCCGGTATGGTTCTCAGCCCATCCGACTGCCCGTATAGTGGAACTTAGTCCTATATAATATTTATATACCTGACCGGTCTCTACCAGCCTGGTTAACAGCCGGTATGGTTCTCAGCCCACCCGACTGCCCGTATAGCCCGATTGATCTTAACCAATTCGGGGTTACATGCACACGTAACACATAGCAAGCACATGCAACCCACATTAACACATTGGGAAGGGGGAGAAAACGTATAACAAAACCTATGCGTGATCCTTCACATACTAAGAATACTCCTAAGGGGTTCATACTCCTTTCACCTAGGTCAGCGGGATACCAATTCAACTAGCATGCAATATATAAGACTCATACAACCTACGAACGGTACCCGAAACATCAAACTAGACATAGGCACGATAGACGGAGTCCGTTGGGACACCACGGGGGTCGGGGAAACATCAAACGGGGAAGTCGGGGTCCCGAGTGTGGGAATTTCCAGCGGGTAGCCGGTGGGTGGGGGGCCACCCGCCGGCTGCCCGCCGGTAACACTGTTCCGGGCAGCGGGTCGCCAGCGGGCAGCTGCCCGCTGCCGGAACTGCCCTCTTTTGACCGCGGGTAGGTGGCGGGTCCCCTACCCCCACCTACCCCCCACTGACTCATTAACACCAAAAACGCCCCGGGAACCTTCGTGGAACCCGAGACCATGCTTGGACACTTTTAAACGCAATTAACAACACACGTAGACGATTTAACGGATCAAAATCAAGAATCAAACGGCACATAACCTATCATGCTTTTCTAGACCCTATAAACCCCCAATCATGTGAAATCCCACCCAATATACCAAGAATAATACCATACGAATTCCACGATATAACCTAGGGTTCTAATTACTTTGATAACAACAAGAATACGGTTCGCCTTCTAATTACAAGATTCGGTATAATTAACACATAAGCATCAAGATCGTCATACAATTATCAAGAACACCATATAATCATCAAGAACTCTACGTAATCGTTAAGAACACCATAGTTATCAAGAATCTCCCAATATCAAGATCACCCATGGAATTATCCCATCAATCATCAATAATAATATCATAAAACATCAATACACAATAATATGGGGAAATCCTACGGGGGAAATCATAACTATGAAAATAGGTTTTGTTGAGACATGGGTTACCTCTTAGCCTTAATTAATTCCTTGGCTATGAAGGGTCTTTCTTTAAGCTTTCTTGCTTTCTTGATTTCTTCTAAGGGAATTCTCGGAGCTCTTTGGGTGGTGAGACGTTTTATTGTGGTGGGGGGTTCTAGGTGCCTCTTAAGTCCCCTATTTATATATTTAGCAGTCCTAGTTAGGAACTAATATTATGGGCTTGCTAATTCTATTCCTTTTGGGACTAAGGATTGGGTTTAGGGATAAGGGTCCATGGTCCATAGTGGACCATATTAATTAATTAAAGAGAATCCTAATCATAATCTGAATATTAAAAGGCCTACTCCCTTTATTCCTAATAGGCCTAAGACTCTCATTTAGGCAAGGGTCCACGGTTCATGGTGGACCACATTAATTAATTAAAGGGAAACCTAACCGAATTAAATCATATTTAATTATTATTAACGGGATTAATTAAATAATTAATTCGGGATTGAAGGCCGTAACACGGGGTGTTACAAATTGCATGCCCATACATGACGGTCAGCGCATATAACTCTGACACGGCCCCGCAGCACCCTGCCTCGTATCGCAACACGAAGGGGTCGATCGCAACCAATCGATGTACCGCAGCTCATCATAATGTTTGATCGCAACCAAACAGTGGACCGCAGCCCAAGAGTGATCATCTGACCGCAGCCAGGAATATGAACCGCAGCTCATGTAAAATGTTTGATCGCAACCAAACGGTGGACCGCAGCCCGAGAGTGTGTAGGCCTAGGATTCCTAATTAGGATCTGATTAGTAAAATGTTGACTTTCTTTATTTCTAATAGGCTTATGACTCTAGTTTAGGCAAGGGTCCACGATCCGTGGTGGACCACATTAATTAATTAAAGGGATTTCTAATCAAATTAAATCCTTTTTAATTATTATTAATGGAATTAATTAAATAATTAATTCGGGTTTAAAGGCCGTAACACGGGATGTTACATCGGGATTTGGTGATTCTTCAATTTCATCCACATTAAATTCAGGACTAGCAGCATCGATAACCATTGTGTGGTAAACATTAGATGCTTCTTCACTAGCCATTTGAGATGGGCCACCAATGTCTTGATCAACATCTGCACTCACATTGTACTCGCCATGGAAGCGCCAAACATAGTAGTTCGACACAAATCCATATTTTGCTAAGTGATATTTCACGGTAGGCACATCTAAATACTTGGTGTTTTGACACTTGCGTTGATTACATGGACACTTAATTCTTTCCCCGTCCATCCAACTATGTTGACAAGTAGCAAATTGGATGAAAGTTTCAAGACAAGCCAAAAACTCTTCAGTGAGAAGACCATTTCTAATTCGTGTATACATCCAACGACAATTTGAACTCATTGTATTTATCACCTATTTCAAAATATTTTTCAACGCTAAATTTCATTTTTTTTTAAAACAAAACTATATTTCACAGAGACATTCAAATAAAGCTGCAAAAAAAAAACAATCATGCATTCATAAACCTCCGGTACCCACAGGCGGTTTAGCCAGAGAAAATACAAGTGACGGTACCCACAGGAGGTTTTGCCGGCAAATAAACAACAAATAAGCAATCATGCATATTTTTATAAACCTCCGATACCCACAAGCGGTTTAGCCGGAGAAAACACAAGTACCAGTACCCACAAGCGGTTTAACCGGCAAATAAAGAACAAATGTAAAATATGTAATTGTTCAAACCTTATCAATCGCAGAATAACTTGAAGAATCTTGAGTATAATAATGCGATTCCCAACCAATATTTTTGAATTTGGAATAGATTTGTAATGAAGTCTAAGACAGATATGTTTGATGATAAAAAAATAGTAATACTGGCAAAGAAGAAACACTTTTATAGCAAAAACTGTAGATATAACTAGAGTACTGATTAGAACAAAGGTTAAAACTTCAACTCTCAACAGTAATGCATTATGAGTTTATGACTGTGGTGGTCAATTTTAAAAAATGCAACTAAAGTCCCAACTTACAACCTGAATGCAACAGGGAATGTAAAATGAATGGTGATGGCACAATGAGATATAACTAGAAATGCAAAATCCATAAGAATCCTAAATTCAATAAATGTATTATGTAACAGCACAGATCCTAATTAAGAAACCCCTATATGAAATCCAGGGGCAAGAATGAGCATGAAGACCATACATATACAAAAATTTGAACTTTGAGACATGGAGACCAGTAAAGACAATTAGACATATCCTATTTAAGTTCAAAACAGTACAATTCAAGAATGTAAAAAAAATGGTATTGAAATTGAAAGAGTCCTGAAATGATACAAGTAAAGAAGCAAATCTCTGAACTATCAAGTAATACCAGATACTAGCATGTAAAACTCAAGAACACACTAATAAGAATGAGGTTTGTGTATTAGTAGTTTAGTAGTAGTATTTGATTGCAGTGGAGAATAAATAAAAAAGAAACTTCTTTTATTTCTATATAATCATGCCTTGCCTGATCCCTCCCCCCTCTCTCTGTGTGAACTGTAGCAAATGAACCACTTCATCTATACATTAATATTCTGTCTTTAATACAAATGCATTTAAACAAATCCAGAAGCTAAAAATCCTTAGACTTAAATAAAAAGTATTAAGAGATAGATAAAATAAGAAACAGAAACAAGAATTTCAGCCAAAAAGATCAGATACATTAAGTGAAACTTAACAACATCAGCTCCAAAACATAAAGTTTGATCATTACCTTGTGGCAATTGTAAGTGAAAACATTAGAGCATTGCCAATTTTCCCATTCGACATTTAAAACCAAAAACTAATGTTTAAGAAATTTGAAGAAAAATGCTCCTATGCATGGTTCCAATAATGGCCTGGGTTTTAATTTGCAAATAAGATAGATCAGATTTCATTTCAAATTAAAAACGTGGATTCTCAGAATGAAATCATATCTTAATTACTGTTAAAACCCTTTGTTTGAATTTGCTTCTAGGGCACCTCAAAGGCCAGTTTTGGGAACCAATGGTAGCTACCCAAAACGCACAAACAGATCAAGATCCACACACATCATACATACACTGGATGGCTTTTCAAATGACAGATGGGACTTTGCTATTTTGCTTAATTACTTCACCAAAGGCCAATGATAATATTTAATAAACAATCTGAAGATGATAAATAGATTTCAATCCAAGTAGACCCGACCATTTTAAATGCTCTATTATGCCATTTTAATCTGATTAGTGTTTACCTGGACCAATGGAACACCGAAGACACCGGAGACGCCGGAGACTGCCTTCTGCCGGAGATGGGAGAACACCGGAGACGCTCCACACCCGGTACGGAGCGAGAAGACAGAACCGTCGCAGACGCGGTGAGAGGCAGCGAGCGGCCGACGGTGGGAGGTAGCGAGCAGTCGGCGGTGGAGGAAACTAACGGCGATGGCGGAGAAGTTTTCTGAGAGGGAGGATGGGAGCAATAGGGTTCTGAGCGATAGGATGCCAGTAATTACATATGATAAAAAAAAATAACCTTAGCTACGGACTAGTATCCGTCGCTAGGAATATAAGTTAAAATCCGATTCATAAGGCTAGCGACGGAATGCTAGCCGTCGCTAGATTATATAGTAAAACCCAATAAATAAGCGTAGCGACGGACGGATATCCGTCGCTAGCGTATATAAGTTAAAATCTGATCCATAATGCTAGCGACGGAATATTATCCGTCGCTAGATTATATAAGACAATATTCCATAAATAAACTTAGCGGCGGAACTAAAATTCCGTCATTAACATATTGTATAAAATTCGCGCTTCATAAATCTAGCGACGAATATACGTATCCGTTGCTAAATAGCAACGGATTTTTACATCCGTCTCTAGATTATAAACAAAAACACATTTCCGTTGGCATATCTAGCGACGGATTCTTATATCCGTCGCTAGGTTGTAGCAATTAAAATATTGGCGTAACCCTGCGAAATTTCCGTCGTTAATCCGTCGCGAATCTGTCTCTAATTTTCGCACCAAAGTTTGGCGCTAAAATTAGCTACGTCTGTAACGACGGAACGTTTCCGTCGCAACATCCGTCGCTAAGCCGTCACTAGACCGTCGCTAAATTTTCATTAAACAAAAAAATTGAAATCTGTCGCTAATCGGTCGCAAATTTAACAACGGAACATATCTGTAGCTAAAACCGTCGCTATATTCGCGTTTTTTTGTAGTGCGCCACCTACCCATGGCCCTGACTGCCCAATTCCAGCGGGCAGCCGGCGGGTAGTCGACTGCCTGCCGGGCACCCACTGGAAACTTGACTGCCAATCGGCGGGTGGTCCTCCACCCGCCGCCCGCCCGCTGGAATGTGGTGGTGCGGTGAGCTATTTTTCACCGTTTGTTGTTTCCCGTGTCCCGTTATACCCCGTTTGATTTTTACGAGTCTCGTATGATGTTTTGAGTACCGTTCTAGGAATTCGTTGTAGCATGTGTCGTTTGTTATTGTACCTTGATTGTTATTGTTGATTATATGATTGATTGATTGATTGAATGATGATGTGTATTGTGATCATTGTGCAATGATGGTTGAGATCGATGATAATGAGATTGTGATTGTGATTGGTGGAAATGAATTGTTGGCGGATAGCACAACGAGTACTCGATTATCGTGTTAAAGGCACGGACCCCCACTTAGACTTGCTGGCTAAAGGCTTGGGTCAAGGTATAAGCGTCGCGGTGCCATGTCAGAGCTATATGCGTTGACCCCTTGATTATAGTGCTATAGGCACAGATCATGCGAATGGCACTTCGGTGCTACCATGTTGGTCGACTTGTTCGTGGTTTCGGTGTGGGGCATGCGTGCTCTGGAGGAATAAGGGAGGCGATATAAGGGTGGCCTGGATGTACATGTTGGAACTGATATAAGGATGAAGATGAGTAAAGGTTGGAATTTGGTATAAGGTTGGAAGATGGATTGTGTGCTTTGATGATTACTTGCTAATTGATTGGCATTGGATCCCATTGTTACCTTTAATTTCTATTTATGAGCTTACTTGTCTATTATGCCTTGCGAACGTAGGATGCATGCTAGTATCTCTATAATATTTGAAATGTTGCCTTATTGATGGTGTCTCGAGTCTTGAGCCAGGTTTTAAAGCTAAAGTTGCTCAGGATTATATATGTATTCCAGTTTCAAAATGATTTCCTATAGTTATATTCATTGTACTTAACGAGTGGGAGTGGGTTACTCAGCATTATTCGCTGACGGTTGCTACGACATGTTTTCAGGTGATGATCAGTAGCTAAGGAGCGCGTTAGTTGGACTTGTAGGCTTAGCTTAGTTAGTACTAGTGCTGGCCTGCGTGCCTTGGCTTGTGTTTTGAACTTATGGATTTTATGTATTGGTTAGCTTAGCCTGTGCACCTAGGTTCTCAAACCTAGGTGTGGCATAGCACCTCGACTCTCATGAATAGTTTATGCTTTGTTTGGATGTTAACAATGGATTGTGTTATTTATATAAGCTTTTAAATATTTTAAAAATTAGGGGTGTTACACAGGCAGTCATGGCGATCTTAAAGGAATATAAAGAACTATTTGCATGGGGGCCCGAGGACATTCCGGGAGTCGATCGATCAATCATAACTCACCGGTTGGCGGTCGACCCTGGCCTCAAGTCCGTGGCTCAGAAGAGGAGGCATCTGTCAAATGACCGCTGGGAATTTGTGAAGAAAGAAGTGGATGCACTGCTAGCCGCAGGGCACGTTCGGGAGGTCAAATGCCCCGGTTACCTGGCCAATGTGGTGTTGGTGCCCAAGCCGCCGGCGTGGAGAATGTGCGTCGACTACACAGACCTCAACAAGGCGGGCCCAAAGGATCCGTTCCCTCTGCCCCGGATCGACCAGTTAGTTGACGATACGGCTGGATGCGCCATGCTTAGTTTCATGGATGCCTTCCGCGGGTATCATCAGATATTCATTCATGAATCCGATGAGGAAAAGACCGCTTTCATCACCACGGACGGGGTATATTGTTACAAGGTAATGCCTTTCGGTCTAAAAAATGCTGGAGCCACCTACACTCGGATGGTGGCATGATTGTTCAAAGGGCTGATGGGTGGATCTATGGCCACCTCTGTGGATGACATGCTCGTCAAAAGCAAAGAAGAGGCGGACCACGTGAAAGACCTGGCGGACCGCTTTAGGATCATGAGGAAGTTTAACCTGAGGCTAAATCCCAAGAAGTGCATGTTTGCGGTCTGCGGAGGAAAGTTCCAAGGATACATGGTGACTCGGCGAGGAATCGAACCGAATCCGGAGAAAGTGCGGGCCATCCTGGATATGCAGCCACCCAGCAGTCTCAAAGAAATGCAGCGGTTGACAGGACGGATGGCTGCCCTCAGCCGATTCTTGTCTAAGTCCGCCGACATGGCCCTCCCCTTCTTTGAAGTGATGAAGAGGCAGGACGGGTTCTGGTGGACTGGAGAATTCCAGGCAGCTTTCGAGCACTTGAAGAGATACCTCTTGGCTCCGTCCCTCCTGTCTAAACCTAAGGTGGGAGAGACATTGTTGTTATACCTGGCTTCTTCCCATAAGGCAATCGGAGCTGTGCTGGTGCGGGAAGAGGAAAAGGCTCAGCTGCCAGTCTACTATGTTGGGCGAACTCTGAAGGGCGCGGAAATCAACTATTCACTTCTCGAGAAAGTAGCTTTCGCCCTGGTCACAACGGTCAAGAAGTTGGTGCTTTACTTTCAAGCTCATACAGTCGGGTCCTGACCGACTTGCCTCTAGCCAGTGTGCTGCGTAGCCCGGCCTCATCCGGACGGCAACTCAAGTGGGCGATGGAGCTCCCCCAATACGGAATCGAATATGCCCCGCGGCCATCCATCAAGGCTCAAGCCTTAGCTGACTTCATAATAGAATGCTCCGCCTACCCAGTCGAGGGCTCATTGGTCGAAGGCTCAGAAGCAGCAGAATTGTGGGAAATACAGACTGATGGTGCGGCCGGCTCCAAGCACTACGCAGTTGGGGTAATGATCACAACCCCAGAAGGGTTCTGCCTGTACTACGTTTTGAGATACAATTTCCAAACTTCTAATAACGAAGCAGAATATGAGGCTGTTATCAGGGGGCTTCAGTTAGTTATCGCCCTCCATGCCGCCAGGGTGCGCGTAATGACGGACTCCCGCCTAGTGGTCAATCAGCTAAAGAATGAATGCGTGACCAGGGAAGAAAGGCTAGTACTTTACAAAGACGTAGCCGAGGGGTTGTTAGATAAATTGGAAGCCAATGAGATTACCCACATCCCACGAGCTGAGAATACGGAGGCAGACATCCTATCTAAGTTGGCGTTGGGAAGTACACCCTCGCACCTGTCGATGGCTTGTCGCACCGAGGTCATAGAACGGTCGAGCACCGAAGTGCTCTCGGTTTGCACAGTTGTCCGGGTGTCCTCTTCCCGGCCTGATCACGCGACCCCCTTCGACTGGCTGTGGTTTGCGGACATGGTCAGATACAAAGAGAAGGCAGAGTAGCCCAGCAAAAAGGAAGACGCTGATCGCGTTAGGACGAGGGCTTCATCCTATGAGTTGGTGGACGAGTTGCTCTACAAACGGTCCTTTGGGGGGCCACTGCTACGTTGCCTGCCTCCCGAAGAAGCTAAGACCGTGATGGTTGCCGCCCATCAGGGGATCTGCGCGGCCAACTAGGGCGGCAACACATTAGACAAAAACTCATCATTCAGGGCTATTACTGGCCGACTATGATATAGGATTGCGTCAAAGAAGTGCTAAGGTGTTCCGTGTGCCAAATGTTCGCTAGAAAGGGCACCCGACCAGCGACCTTCTACACACCAATCACCACGACGATCCCATTCGCCAAGTGGGGCATTGATTTGCTCGGACCGCTCCCCCAAGTGCCCGGGCGAGCGCGCTTCTGTATAGCGGCCGTGGACTATTTCACTAAATGGGCAGAGGTAGAGCCCTTGGCGAATATCACCGAGTACCAGTGTAACACCCCATATTATGACCTTCAAATCCGAATTAATTATTAAATTAATCCCGTTAATTAAAGTAATTAAGAGGAATTTAATCCAATTATAATTATCCTAATACGTGTCTTATTGTTGATTGTTTGACTGTGATGATAACTGGGTATAGATATGGTTTGTATTATGTAGTCTTGTGACCTTAGGATGCATGCTAGAATCTTTATGTTTAATTATATTGAATGTATCTGCTATTGCTTGTTGAGTCTGTTCTCGGATTTAAATTAGAGTTACTAAGGATTATATATGTATTCCAGTTTCAAAATGAGTTTCTTATATCTACCTATATTGCACTTAACGCGTTGGAGTGGGTTACCAGCATTATTCGCTGACGGTTGTTATACCGAATGTTTTTCAGGGACAGTGAGTAACTTCGGAGCGCGCTAGAGGATTTGTGGACTTAGTTTAGATAGTTCTAGCTTGGATGAGATGACCTGCATGCCTTGATTTGTATTTGGGTATTAGTTATGGTTTATGCTTTGTTAGTTAGTTTAGCCTGTGCATCTGAGTTCTTCAGCTCAGATGTGGCATAGCACCCCGACTACTATGTCTAGTTTATGCTCAGTTTGGGAATTAATAAGAGATTAGCCTTTATTTTATAGGTTTTAAATATCTTGAAATTTAGGGGTGTTACAGCTGATACCACCTGCTCAAGCGAAGGCGGCCACGCTGCGAGGATGATCACATCCTCTCTACGAGGACGACTGATACCGCCTGCTCAGGCGAAGGCGGCCACGCCGTGAGGACGATCACCTCCTCTCTATGAGGACGGCTGATACCACCTACTCAGGCGAAGGCGGCCACGCCTCGAAGATGACCACCTCCTTTCTTCGAGGATGGCCGATACCGCCTGCTCAGGCGAGGACAACCATGTCGTAAGCAGGTTCTGGATATTCCTCAGGGGCTCGTAGGCAGCCAGCCTCGCCCACTGAGGGACTTGACCATTTTAGATGTTCCTCAGGGGCTCGTAGGTAGTCGGCCTTGCCCACTGATGGACTTGGCCATTTTTGATGTTCCTCAGGGGCTCGTAGGCAGTTGGCCTCGCCCATTGAGTGACTTGGCCGTTTTGATGTTCCTCACGGGTTTGTAGGCAGTTGGCCTCGCCCACTGATGGACTTGGCCATTTTTGATGTTCCTCAGGGGCTCGTAGGCAGTCGGCCTCGCCCACTGAGGGACTTGGCCGTTTTGATGTTCCCCGGGGGCTCGTAGGCAGCTAGCCTCGCCCACTGATGGACTTTGCCGTTTTTTATGTTCCTCAGGGGCTCGTAGGCAGTCAGCCTCACCCACTGAGAATTTGGAAATTTTGATGTTCCTTAGGGGCTCGTAGGCAGTCGCCCTCGCCCACTATGAGACTTTGCCGTATTTTATGTTCCTCAAGGGCTCGTAGGCAGCTAGCCTCGCCCACTGAGGGACTTGGCCGTTTTAGATGTTTCTCAAGGGCTCGTAGGCAGTCGGCCTCGCCCACTGATGGACTTGGACATTTTTTATGTTCCTCAGGGGCTCGTAGGCAGCCAGCCTCGCCCACTGAGGGACTTGGCCATTTTAGATGTTCCTCAGGGGCTCGTAGGAAGTCAGCCTCGCCCACTGATGGACTTGGCCGTTTTTTATGTTCCTCAGGGTCTTATAGGCAGTCGGCCTCGCCCACTGAGGGACTTGGCCGTTTAGATGTTTCTCAGGGGCTCGTAGGGAGTCAGCCTCGCCCACTGAGGACTTGGCAGTTTTGATGTGTCTCAAGGGCTTAGAGGAAGCCAGCCTGTCCCCTAAGGGACCTAGCAGTTTTGATGTTCCTTAGGTGTAACACCCCGTGTTACGGCCTTCAATCCCGGATTAATTATTTAATTAATCCCGTTAATAATAATTAAATATGATTTAATTCGGTTAGGTTTCCCTTTAATTAATTAATAAGGCCCACCATGAACCGTGGGTCCTTGCCTAAATTAGAGCCTTAAGCCTATTAGGAATAAAGAAAGTAAACCTTTTACTATTCAGATTCTGATTAGGAATCCTAGACCTAGTTATCTATTAGGAATAAAGGAAGTAGGTCTTTTACTATTCAGATTATGATTAGGATTCTCTTTAATTAATTAATATGGTCCACTATGGACCATGGAACCCAATCCTTAGTCCCAAAAGGAATAGAAGTAGCAAGCCTATAATATTAGTTCCTAATTAGGACTCCTAAATATATAAATAGGGGACTTAAGAGGCACCTAGAACCCCCCACCACAATAAACGACTCACCATCCCAAAAGAGCTCCAAGAATTCCCTTAGAAGAAATCAAGAAAGCAAGAAAGCTTAAAGAAAGACCCTTCATAGCCAAGGAATTAATTAAGGCTAAGAGGTAACCCATGTCTCAACAAAACCTATTTTCATAGCTATGATTTCCCCCTTAGGGTTTCCCCATATTATTGTGTATTAATGACTTGTGATAATTATTGTTGATGATTGATGTGATGATCCCATGGGGGATCTTGATGATCTTGATATTGGGAGATTCTTGATGATTAAGGAATTCTTGATGATTATATAGAGTTCTTGATGACTATGTGTCGTTCTTGATAATTGTGTAATGCTCTTGATGTTTATGTGTTATTGTTACCGAATCTTGTAATTAGAAGACGAACCGTATTCTTGTTGATATAAAAGTGATTAGAACCCTAGGTTGTATCGTATGATCTTATTCTTGGATTATCGGGTGGGGAAATCGCATGTTTGGGTGTTGATTATACTTAGAAAAGCATGATAGGTTATGTGCCGTTCATTCCTCGTATTTGATTCGTTAACTGTCTACGGGTTGTCGTTAATTGTGTTGTAAAGTGTCTAAGCATGGTTTCGGGTTCCATAACGGTTCTCGGGGCGTAAAGTGTGTGAAAAGAGTCAGTGTGGGGTAGGTGGGGGGGTAGGGGACCCGCCACCTACCCATAGCCGTAAACCACCGCCTGGCAGCGGGTGGCCGGCGGGCGGGCAGCTGCCCGCCGGCGACCCACTGCCCGGAACAGTAGAAACCGGCGGGCAGCCGGCGGGTGGTACCCGCTGGAAAATCGTCCCACCCGGGACCCCGGCTTCCCCGTTTGATGTTCCCCCGTTCCCCGTGGTGTCCCAACGGACTCCGTTTATCGTGCCTATGTCTAGTTTGATGTTTCGGGTACCGTTCGTAGGTTTATGAGTCTATTATATTGCATGCTAGTTGAATTGGTACCCCGTTGACCTAGGTGGTAGAAGTATGAATCCTTTAGGACTATTCTTAGTATGTGATGGATCACGCATAGGTTTTGTTATACGTTTTCTTCACCTTCCTAATGTGTAATGTGGGTTGCATGTGCTTGCTATGTGTTATGTGTGTGTGTTACCCCAATTCGGTTGCGATCGGATTGGATATCCTGAGCTGCGGTTCAGAAGCTGGCTGCGGTCAGATTGATACTCTTGGGCTGCGGTCCACCGTTTGGTTGCGATCAAACGTTTCTATACGAGCTGCGGTTCGTCCTTTTTCCTGGCTGCGGTCAGATGACATTCTCTTGGGCTGCGGTCCACTGTTTGGTTGCGATCAAACATTATGATGAGCTGCGGTTCATCGGTCGGTTGCGATCGACCCCTCCGTGTTGCGATACGGGGCAGGGTGCTGCGGGGCCGTGTCAGAGCTATATGCGCTGACCCTCATGTATGGGCATGCGATTGGTCCTGTGGCGCCAACAAAGTGTGTTATGTGCTGTGACATGGACGAGTTGTGATTACGAGTGTCTTGGGGGATGTGACTATGGGATTTATATTGGGGATTGTTCATGTTGGGTTATGATAATTGTTTATGCTCTGCCTTATCTGTTGTGAACTGCATATGCTCATTATAACTGTTGCTTGTGTCTGGCCTTATCTGTCGAGTCATTCCCGGTTTTAAAGCTTGAGTTCGTAGGATATATCTTCATGCTCAAAATGGTTTTCGTATATCTATATATATCTCTATATGTATTGTATTTCAACGCGTTGGAGTGGGTTACCGGCATCTCTCGCTGAACAGATATATTTGGCTTTCAGGCACAGAAGATTAAGTCACTGGAGCGCGCTAGAACTGGGAGTATAGAAGTAGATAGTTTTCCCTTTTGGCCTGCGTGCCACGTTTACGTAATCACGCTTTGAGGATATTAGTTAGTTAGCCTGTGCACTTGGGTTCTCTAGCCCAGGTGTGGCATAGCACCCCGTACGCTTGTATTTATCTCTTGGGATTTAATGAGATTCTACCTTTATTATAAGTTTTAAAAAGTCTTGAAAATCTGGGGGTGTTACAGTTGGTATCAGAGCCTAAGTTTGACCCTAGGATAAAACTCTTAAGACCGGACTTTAGGACATTAAGCTTGAACTCTAGGTATTTAGGAACATAGGACTCAGGAATCTTAGGACGCACGGTGAGATTGTGAAACCTACACATAACCTCCCCTCACTTTATCCCTCACTAATTTAAGGAACCTCCCCCTACGCTTACCACACCAGGTAAG